AATAAATTTTTTATAAAAGTAAACATTAAAATGTTTTATTTATTGATTACTATAGGTTATGTAGACTTTAAAATACAATTTTTTGTTTTTAATTTAAGTTTTCGTTAATTTTCGTAATACACTTACAATTGTCTTCTTCTTTTTTATAAAACATGCATTGTTTTGATAGCAAACAGTAACGTTTTCTGTTGTGTTGTGCGAAGTTTAAATTTGTACTAAAACACATCAAAGGGGATTAACATTTATTTTTAGATTAACTAATCTGTTTATTAATTGGCATTTAATTGCCAACTCAAAAACCCGTTCTATAACACTAAAAATTACGAAAGTTAAAAAAAATTTAAAAATTTAAAAAGTTAAAAAACATTGCCTATATTCAAACATCTGGTTACTCTACAGCAAGAAGAATTGATAATAAACTGATGACACAACTATAACAAAGAGTTTTGTTGTTGTAAGTTAAACTGTCAAAATTAGTGTGTTGTTTTAATTTTTATTGTATTTTTACGATAATAAACACAAAAGAATCTGACAGTTTAAAACACACAAACAAGAGAAGAAGTGAAACAATCGGCTATAAATTCTATTTTCTGCGCTGCATAAATAAATAAAATATTTTATTTACACATTTTTTTGAAAAACACAAAATAAATGTTGAAACATGTCTGATGAATATGCTTGTGTATCAAAAAGTAAATTAAAACTTAAAAATGATGGTGGTATCAAAAAGAAAAAGAAGAAAAGTAAAGACAAAGATAAGGACAAGGAACGTGAGGCATTACAGCAAACATTGCAGCAACAACAGAGTGGTGGTTCCAAAGCGAAACCAGAACGCCAGTTAACCAAAGCTGAATTGGCTTTCAAACAGCAGCAGGAAAAAATGGTAAGTTTTTATACAGACAAATAAATAAATTTATTTATCAATATTCTCATTATTTACTGTGAAGCGCAACAAACGTATAATGGATAAGGCCTCCACCACACATAAAGAACGGGTAGAAAAGTTTAATGAACATTTGGATTCTTTAACCGAACACTTTGATATACCTAAAGTGTCCTGGACGAAATAAAAAGTCTTTATTATCCTATAATTTATCTAGAATTTTATTATTTAAGTTTTTTTTTATTTCACCTAAATTTAATTTTTAAAAATATTCACACAATTTAAAACAAATGTATTTAATCAAAGTTTTAAAATAATAAATAACAAAGGGACAAAACTTTGCAAACATCTGGATGGTTAATCAAGAAATCGATTTGAAAAACTCCAATTCTTCGGTAAATAGATTTTTTCTTCCAAATCGATTTCTAGGGTAACCGCCTTGTTATATCTTTGGTATTGTCGTTCTAAACTTTTTTCAGGATTTTATAAACGACTTCTATTAAAGGGAATTTTTTGCCCTCCACACAAATTCCTTTGAAATCATCGGTATTCAAAGAAAACATCATTGCTCCTCCCAGACCATGCATTTTTATATACTTAGCCTTACAGGCTAAGCTTGTAGCTTGATCGAAGGCAATCCACTCGGTTGCACTACTGGCATAACAGGAACAGGCATCCTTGTCGTACTCCAAAGAACTTAAAATGTTATGCTGTAAAAACCAACATATTTCACCAGATGAAACAAAACCTTGATTTCCGGTATGGCCATAACCAGAAGCCGGCGCACCAATGGCAGTATTAAAAGGGTTGATCAAACTGTAGAGGAAAAAAATGTTTTAATACATTTTTAGATTTAAAAGGTAGAACTTACGTAAAGGAATGGCCATAAGTTGGCAAACCTACTATTAATTTTTTACGTTCCAAACCATTTTTAAGCCACCAGTTGACCGAATAGTTAATATTTAAAGTAGCAAGTATGGAATGTTCATTACTGCGCGCATACAAAGGTGCATTTAAACCTGAAAATAGAGATTTAGATTTGTTAATTATTAGAGGGATTGTTTCGATTTCAACATACCCGTAAACGGAGTTCCCTTTGTATAAAAATGATAATCATACGACATTAAATTGACATGATCCGCATATTTATTAATTTCCGCCACATCGTATGCGAATAGAGCGATTCCCTCCGGAGCGGCCACAGCCACAGATAGCAAATATGCTCGCTTCTCTCTCACATATTCTTGACGTATTTCATAGAGTAATTGACTGAAATGCATACGTTCTCGATTATAAGCACTGGGAAATTCCCAATCCAAATCACAACCATCTAATTTATAATTTCTTAATACTTCCTTTAATGATTGTATAAATACTTTACGACTCTGATGATTTTTTACCATATCGGAAAAACCATCACTTGATGAGCCACCACCTCCAATGCACAAGAGAAACTTTAAGTGGGGAAATTGCGTTTTCAGTCGTGGCATATCATTAGCTAAAGTGTGATTTAACCTTTGACTGATTACTATGGAGGAATTGTTTATAAATGCCATACCCACATTAATGTGGGTACATAAAGTCCCATTGACTTGAGTTAAATTTAAGTCCTCATACTGCGTATTATCATTGCTATAAGTATAATAGCAAACGACTAGAGTTTCATTGGGCAAGGGGGCAAAAATGCTGCTAGCTTCCAATGAGGAATTGTCATCCTGTTCAGAATGTAAATATTTAATACGGAATGTAGAATTTTTAACCAAACGAAAATCGTGGGATTCTTGGGTTTGATTTTGATACGCTAAACTATACATAGTAGCACGATCAATCCATTCGGGTGGTATACCTTGAAAAAACATGTTATTAACCACAAATTCAAATTGGTAAACATACATATACTACATACTTTGCTTGAACTGTGGATACCTTAGGATTACCGTATAATATGGTCCATATATGTGCTGCCATATCCGATACACCAAGGCCGTGGAGCACATACATAAACTCACCAATAACGCTATGCGCCATCCTATATGCTTGTAACTAAACAAATTTACATATTTTCTTTTAATTGTACTTAAAATATTGGTATATATTATAGAATTGCTAATAATAATTCTTACCGTACTCCATTTGTTTCATCTATTAATTCATAATTAGCCATTTATCATATTATATTTTTGTACTGATAGTAAGATTTGTTCTTTGTTTTTTATTATTATTTACTGTTTTTAATAGGTAATTCTATTTTTAATTGATTCTTTTGTTGTGAACAAATGTAATTATTCCGATGGAGTTGATTCGTCAATGTTATTTCTCATAAATGAAAAAAAAAAACAAAAATTTTGGGAGACTATTGTTGCGAAAGCTGATTAAAAGGAAAGTACGATAAAATAAACAAAGGTTTTTTTGTGTTGCCAGATTTTTTGCAATAATTACAGGGTTTGAGAATTGTATTAGCTTTTATCAAGGCTGACAACCGTTACCGCTAAAATACCTCAACTACCGTTATCGCTAAACATCGTTAACCAATTAAAACTAAATAACGTTATCGCTTCAATACCTTTATTTAATAATTTAAGAAATAAATTTCTTATTATTTACAAAGTTGTTATTCACTCACTTTTTTAAACGGTCCACTATTTTCTATAGCTCCAATACAAAATTAGTACAAATAAAATACGTCCATACATTTTTCTGTCTGATTAATATTGGTTTCGAATTACTTGTGGATGTACATAAAATTTACGGAAAACCATTATTTTTTAACGTGTACCGTCAATTTAATCCTGCATTTTTAGGGAAAGAGCAACTCTAGAGTTTTCTAATGGGATATAAAATATTGTTGTAAGATGTTCAGTTATTGTTTGCTTACCACCCATCACGAAATGTTTCCTCTCCATTTTCACCACAGCAGTTAGACGAAGTTGGATACTAAGATTAGTTATTTGCAGATGTATAGGAACCTCAACTAACCAACATTATGGTGAATTCTTTCACAGTTTAACTCTTTATAATGGATATAGTATGCACATTAGGGTGGTCCTAAAATGGAAGTTCATTCTAAGATACCATTTCTGGAATTTGTATTAAACCGAGGAGAAAAATGTTGAGAAACTATATCTTAAGAATGAACACTAAGAAATAAATACCTTTACAAAATCTAGAAAACAAATTTAATTCCAAATAAAACTTCTTTGTCTTTTTTATTTTATTTTAAGAAATCTTGTGCTATTCTTTATTTTTGAGACATTAATATTATGAACATAAAAAATACATTGAAAATTACAAATTGAAAACTATTATGCTGTTATTTCTTTAGAATATATTTGAATATCTATTGATTTAATTGAAAATATTAAATATTTCAATATAATCTATAGATCTATTGCATTTGCCGCTTGTTTTATTTTCTTTTCATATGTTGTGTCTGTTGTTAGTGATGTTTTTATTGTTGTTATATGTAGTACTCCTTATGGTGTTAGTTGCAATTAAAGTTGTTTTAATGATCCTTTCCATTGAAAAAAATTATTCAAAATGGACAGACAGTTATATATAAGTAATAATATAATATTCCAACGAAGCTGACCAGCAGCTGCGTTATTGTTTTATTATATTTATTTTAGGTATATTACGATTTTTGTATAATAAAAAGAGATCTACAAATAATAACCTAGCTTTAATTTGTATTATTAATTTTGTTTGAGAGCAAAGCAATTTTTGTTGTTTTTTTTTTTTAATTATCAATGATTTTCGATTTATTTTTGCAAAATTTAATTAAAAATTTCTTTTAATACTTTATTCAGTTTTGTATTTTTTGTTTGTTTATAATTGTGTATGTTTTATTGTTGTAATGTTACATGTTGATATTGTTTTGTGTAAGCATTTAATTTTAATCATTATGATTAAATATATTAAGATTACTTTATTAGTGTTTTTTTTTGTTTGTTTACAATTATATTTGGTTTTTATATTCAATATTTATATGTTTATTTTTCTATAAATTTCAAAAAGATTTTTTTTTTCATTTATCTAATTATTTTTGTTTAATAAAAATTATTGTTTTTTAGTTCATATTTTATTTCTTATTAATTTTTTGGAGAAATTACATTTCAAATACTGTTTTTTCTTTCAAAATTTATTATTTTATATTAAAAAAAAATAAAAATAACTTATATAGAAAAACTTAAAAAAATAAGTTATAATTGTATTTCTGTATGTATTTTTTAATTTACAAATTAGAAAGATAAATTGTTTTTGACTTTATTGTGTTTCATTATATTAATAAATTAAAACAATTTTTTTAAGATTTCAGTATTTCAGTTGTTAGTTTTTTTAATATCTGGTTATTAATATCATGACGATATATTACCGTCTGTTTTCTTTTAATTTTTTTGTACGGTTATGAAAACCTTAACCAGTTTTTAAGAATTTAAAGCTTAGACTAGTTGATTTTTTATTTAAGGCTTTTATAAAAGTCAAACTTAAAAAAAATTGCAAATATTAGAAAATGTTTCATAGTTGTGAAGCTTAATTATAAATTTTAAACTAAATTAGTGGGAAAAATGTTTTGTATATACTGCTTGTTTTGAATCTGACAAAATTCGAAAATTTCTACTTGTAATTATGTGCAGTTTGTATCTCCTACAATATGCTGTGTACGAGTTTATTTGCAAGACTTACAAGTGTGTATCCAGTGTTTTTTTTTTTTTTTTTTTTCAAAAAATTGTATTTTTTCTATGTTTTCATTGTAGAGATTGCATAATTTTAGTAATTTTTGAAACTAAATCAAAAAATTTCTCCACACTTTCATCTAAATTACCTTATTGCTTATAAAAATCTTGCAAAATTACAAGAGTAGTAATCTGTTATAGTCCTTACGACAATACTTAAGTGTCTGTGAGCTGTTAATTTATTATTACCTTCATTTAAGGGCTTAAAATTTCATGGTAATTAAGCAGTATTATTATATTCTTGTTAAATTTTCAAGTGTTGTAGTTCGTAACAGTCTTTTCGATTATATTTGACTTTGAAAGGACTTTATAACCAACCAATTTGTATCAGTATTTCGTTTCCTTAATTGCTAATGCATTTTGTTTAATTTTCAAAATACACAGAATTGCATTAATTTATCAATCTGTATTTGCTATGTTTGAATGAAAACTACTCGAATCTTTATAATATTTCAAATGTTTCGCAACTTTTAATAGTAATAAATTTGTGTTGCTTTTTTTTAACTTTCAAACATGATTAAAAATAATAGTTTTATACCATGCTTTCAATTAATAATAATAGAAAAGTTTAAAAACTGTATGTAATATTTTTGCTAGACCTGCTAAATATCACATTACAGGAGTAAAATCGGCTAACTTTTCATTAAATTATTGAAACCTCATTAAAAAAATGTATATTTTTTTGTAAAATGTTTTTGTGAGCCAATTTTGCAAAGAAAATCTAAATTTTTATGAAAATATTTTCAAAAAATAAACTTTAAAAATTTTTAATTTCTGAAATTTTTAAGTTTTGGAAATGATTTTAAAATGTTCATGATTTTCTTTATAATATTTTCAATGTTATTTTAAAACTTAAGTTTTTTATATTCGAAATTTGAACTTATGTGCGAAACAATTTTAAAACTGTTAATATAATCTCTAAACTATGAGAATTTATAAAACTATAATTGTAGTTTTATTTGTAGTCAATTTCCTATATTTTCCAATTTCAAACATAAAATAGAATTTGAAAATAACTTAAAAATGTTCATGAAGGTTCAATTAAATGTTCGAATTCTTAATAAATTTCGAAATTATGTTCGAAAAATTTGAAGGTCATTAAAAAAAACATCTAATTTTAGTTTTATATATAAGCCAATTATTTTATATTTTATTAATACCAACTTGAGTTCGAAAATTTCCCCATCGCTAGGAAAACATAATCGATCAATTAACCAAAATCAATTAAAGATCAATTATAAGCCCATTTAAACAACAAACACGGAAAACATATTGTTGCATTTATTCAGTATCACTTTTTTTCCATTATAATTAAGTCTATATTTGCAATTTTATAATAGATTTCAAAACTTTGGTATTTTAAATACATATATGACAATAAACTGTTATGTATTTACAACTACTGTCGGGGTAAATACTGTCTGACAATTTAAATAAAAAAAATAACTATCTTCTCAAATAGTAGTATATAAGCATTTAAAATCTACTATTTCAGTGTATCAGTATGTGTATTTTATTTATTATTATTATTATTTTCAGTTATTTCATGTCTATCAAAGAATTTAAATTAATTTCTCATATACATTCATTGACCCCCATTAATAAAATGAGAAAAAAAGTAAGAACAAAAAACATCATCATATCATACCAAGGTATTTGATGTATGTAAACATTTTCAATATAATTTATGAAGTATTCAAATGAATTCATATGTGTTTTTCTTTCTTTTCTTTTAAATAAAATAGATAAGGCTTTTTGAGGCTAAAAAGAGCAGTCATTTGAAAAAAAAAACAAAGGTCAAATGTTTAAGTTTGAATTGTGTAGCAAATTAAAAATACATATTGCATATTTTTTTCATTCATAATTTTTACTTTTTTTTCTTGTGTAACGTTTGTTTTTAAAAAATTATGTATAAAGTTGCTTGCTTGTTTTGCTGATGATTATTTGCCTGTGAAAGTGTTTAATGTTTTGCTATTTTCTCATAATTTTTCTTTTAATAAGTACATAGGTGTATAAAAATTTGTTTTAAGCAGGAAAACATGGTTTTCATTATTACATCTTATTTTATACATATTTTTTTTTCTTCTGTTCAAGCACTCTTCTTGGTATTGTTTAGGTTTTTTTTTATTTTTATTTTTTACTACTTATTTGTTTTTATTAAGAGAAAACTTTGTGGTTTTGTTTGATTTTCAAGAATTGTATATATATTTTTTTCTTTTTGGGTTTTCCAATATTTTATCAGAATTCTTTTTTTTCGATTATAAACAAATTATACATAAAATACATACATGTACTAGTTATTATTTTGATTTTATTATGTTGTTTACAGATTTTTTTTAATAATTACAAATTTTTCTTAACAAAAAAATAAATATTTAGAATTTTCTTTAAAATTATGTGATGAAGTTTTTGTGATAATGTATAAAAGAAAGAAATTATTAGTCAGAGAAAAATCATGTACTTCCTTAGTTACAAGTCTTGTGGTAAATATCAGTTTTTCTATTTGTTTTGAAAGTTCTATTCAATTTTATTTCCTTTCAGTTACTGGTTCGTGCGTCTAACAGAATTTATTTTAAAAGTCTATACGATAGACCAGACTACAGCTATACTATAGACTAGATTACAGACTAGACAATAGACTAGATTATAAACTAGACTATAATATACTTGACTATAAACTCGACTATAGAATAGGCTAGAGACTATAATCTAGACTAGACTATATTCTGGAGTATAGACTACACCAGGCTATAGACGAGACTACAGACAACCGACTAGATCATAGACAAGACTATAGGCTATAGACTAGTCTATAGACAAGACTGTAACGTTTTAAAATTTTGACGACAAAGCAATTAAATTTAATTCAACATAGTTTTTGAACTTATCAAAGAACCGATAATTTAAGACTAATGTCTCTGAAGAAATAGTATTTACTATTAATAAATACTTAAAGAAATTCTCTGGATTAATAATTTGTTTCCCAAGAAAACATTTAAGCGATGAGTAGGTATGATAATGTTATATGATAATGAGTTAAAAAAGAGTGCTATATCTTCTTTTTTACAAGGTGCTGGTTTTAACAAAAATGAAACCTTATGCCACCAGTATTTAAAATATATATGTAAATATAAAAAAAAATACACAAAACAAATTTACATTTAACAAAAAAAAAAAAAAAAAAGAATAATAAATAATAGTAAATAAATTTAAGCTTTAAATTAAATGGAAAAAAACTAAACATATTATACATATACTACTAAAAATAGAAATATATTAATATAATCCTTTTTTGTATTTTGGACCAGGAGGAGGGTGTAAGAGTTTTTTTTTTTTTTGGTGATTTAAGTGTTTGTGTTCTCCTTATTTTCGATTTTAGTTATGTGCGTGAATGTAACATTTAATAAATTTTGTGTGTGTATGTGTTTTTCTTATTTGGCAAGTGCTATTTATTGATTATTTAAATCTATTTTTGAAAAAAAGCATGAAAAATTTAAGCTTATAAGAAGTTATTGTAACTTTGTAATAATCATTAATTAGCCCAAGCCTAAAAATTATTATTTGTTCAATGAGTTTTTGTTTAAGTTTAATGTGTAAGCAGAAGAAAATCTTCCAAACTGCCACACTTTTTGGTTCGTTTTTTAGTTTTTTTTTTCTAAAAAAAAAAAGAAATTTTTTTATCGTTTTTATAACTTTAGCTTACAAAAAAAAAACTTCATATAATGTAAGGGAAAGTTATTTTTGCTTATACAAAAGACAAGCTTTTGTTAATTTGTTACATATAAATCCTATCACAAAAAATAACAATTTTCTTTAAAAATAAGGAAAAGCATTTTCAAAACCTATGCTTTTCATTGTGCAACAACATTTTGGCTGTGTTTTTGTTTGCTTCTTGTTTTTGTTTTGTTTGTTAGCAAGTGTTTATGTTACATTAAACCTACACAGTTTCCAATGCTCGTACATCTTTTTGCACAACATAGAATTTATGTTTTTTACCCACTAGGCCCCATATGACGGCAACATTCTCAATTACCACATTAACGGGTATTGTACAGACGGCACCCAAAACGCAGGCTAAAAATTTCACTAAACCAAAACGGTAAAGTGAAAATGATTTGATGACACCAAACACGTACATGTAGATATTAACGGCCGCTATAAAAGCACACACAAAATCCACAATATTGGGACAGGGTATGGGATACAGTCCAGCAAATACAATATTTGAGGTTGACAAGGGCATGGTTACCCAGGAGTAAACGCTGATACCCAGCAATAGTTTGTATTTGAGGGGTATTATTTTCGAGTGTACCACAAGGAGAATGCCCTGAAGCCAACGTTTACGCTGTTGCAAGAAATCCAACAGGGTAAATGGTGATTTTTCATACATTTCACCTTCGATGAAATTGAAAGTGTAGCCCTGGGAAAAAGCACGCATCGCAAAGAAACAATCTTCGGCCACGGAACCATCAATGCCATTATCGAATGATACTTGACGTTCAGCACCAACCTGTAAAAAATAAAACACAATAAAAAATGGAATTATATTAGCATACAATTATATTGTTGTGTACTTATTTGAATTTGATTCAAAGTAAAAATAAAGAAATTATTGTAAATAATTCAAATGTTTTAAAAGTGGATTTTAATTTACTGTCTAAAGTTTATGAAATGTTGGCAAAATGTCTGATTACAATTTAGATGTGATAAGATAAATTTTATCTGTATTTTATTATAAGAGCATGAAGTTTGTAGTTTTTATTTAGCGTTATTTATCTATAGCTAATATAATGTTTTAAACTTTATTGTGAGTGAATGAAATGGCTTTTAGTAATAAATTAGGGAATATAAGTGTGTGGAAAATATAAATGACATTTGTTTTTTACAAAACCCAAAATTGTTTATATATTTTTATATTTATATCATAATTTTAAAAAAATTATGATACTTTACATATCTATAAAGTAATTTCGAATAGGTTATCAGAATTCCTCTCTGATCTAAAGTGAAATTATTTCCGTATTTTTGCTTTTATCAGAAAAAATTATTACCGAACAATGCTTAGAAAAGGAACCTATCTAGCGAGCGAGCGAGCGAGCGAGCGAGCGAGCGAGCGAGCGAGCGAGCGAGCCAGGAGCGAGCGAGCGAGGAGCGAGCGAGCGAGCGAGCGAGCGAGCGAGCGAGCGAGCGAGCGAGCGAGCGAGCGAGCGAGCGAGCGAGCGAGCGAGCGAGCGAGCGAGCGAGCGAGCGAGAGAGAGCGAGCGAGCGAGCGAGCGAGCGAGGAGCGAGCGAGCGAGCGAGCGAGCGAGCGAGCGAGCGAGAGCGAGCGAGCGAGCGAGCGAGCGAGCGAGCGAGCGAGCGAGCGAGCGAGCGAGCGAGCGAGCGAGCGAGCGAGCGAGCGAGCGAGCGAGCGAGCGAGGGGGAGCGAGCGAGCGAGCGAGCGAGCGAGCGAGCGAGCGAGCGAGCGAGCGAGCGAGCGAGCGAGCGAGCGAGCGAGAGAGCGAGCGAGCGAGCCAGCGAGCGAGCGAGCGAGCGAGCGAGCGAGCGAGGAGCGAGCGAGCGAGCGAGCGAGCGAGAGCAGCGAGCGAGCGAGCGAGCGAGCGAGCGAGCGAGCGAGCGAGCGAGCGAGCGAGCGAGCGAGCGAGCGAGCGAGCGAGCGAGCGAGCGAGCGAGCGAGCGAGCGAGCGAGCGAGCGAGCGAGCAGCGAGCGAGCGAGGAGCGAGCGAGAGAGAGAGCGAGCGAGACGAGCGAGCGAGCGAGCGAGCGAGCGAGCGAGCGAGCGAGCGAGCGAGCGAGCGAGCGAGCGAGCGAGCGAGCGAGCAGCGAGCGAGCGAGCGAGCGAGCGAGCAGCGAGCGAGCGAGACGAGCGCGAGCGAGCAGCGAGCGAGCAGAGCGAGCGAGAGCGAGCGAGCGAGCCAGCGAGCGAGCGAGGGATCGAGCGAGCGAGCTAGCGAGAGACGACGAGCGAGCGAGAGAGCGAGCGCGAGCGAGGATCATCTATCTCTATCTATCATCTCTATCTATCTATCTATCTATCTATCTATCTATCTATCTATCTATCATCTATCTATCTATCTATCTATCTATCTATCTATCTATCTATCTATACTTTGCTCAGACTGACGGACTAACTAATACACATGGCTTAATGTACTTCAAAAGTGATCTCAGTCGCTTTTTTGATAATCCATAAAACCAACCTCTCGGTGCATCTGTAAACTATAATAATAAACAAAAACAATAATCTCTCAAAACTTACCTGAGTTACAACATAACTTCCTTTCCAGCTGAACAAGGGTTTGTGGAACAATTTAAACTGTAAACGTAATTTACCCATATCGTCCGATACACGGAAACTGTCGGCCAATGTCGTCAGCCAATTGACTACATTTTCATTGGCATATGTTATTAAACCCTGTCCAAATGGATGTTTACCATCTAAGACAAAATTAATAATACCACGCACTGAATTCTCTGTTAGTAAAGTTTCCTCATCTAAATGTACAATCCAATCATTGTCATTTAAAACATTTACATTATCCTCTAGACAATATTGTAAAGCGCGTGATTTAAATAAGGCTCCTGTTCGGGTTTTATACTCTTTAGGCACTACAATTTCACGTATACGACGATGATGTGATAAATTTACCGCCTTATCTGTAACAACTTCAATAAGGAAATTTTCCAAACCAGTGTCAAGACATGTATTCATATTTCTCAGTACATTGGTCTTGACCAACTCGGGAAAATCTCCTCGTGTCACAACACGTATGCACATGAACGGCGCTAGCAGGGGACTACCTTTGAGAACAACTTTTTCGGGAAAAGCATTGTAAAAGACTAAACCGCAAAAATTGAATAATACTTGCGGCAGTGTAAGGAACGTTAGGAAACGTAATAGATATAATAAAATGGTAGCTAATTGGCCATATGCCGCCCAAGGGTCCAAAACTGTAAAGGAATTTTCATCGATTTTTATGCCACCAGAGAAAATTTCAAATGCTACTATGACCACTAGCAATAGAGTACAATGAAGTAAATGTTTTGTGCTTGAATTCATGACGAAATAAATAATTTAATTTAAAAAGTTATTATTGTTGCTTTTACAGTTGCAGCTGTGTTGTGTTCGTTGTTGTTGTTATTAATCTTGATGATGTTCTCCCGTTTCAGGGAGTCTTAAGTATGTTGTTTATACAGAGATTTAACTTTTACAATGACAGCATTAGACATTTATTTATTCAGGGCAATTTCTTCGTTTTGTTTTAATGCGTAATTGCTTTTTATAGGTTGTTTTTATTTATTGTTTTTTTGTTTGTTTGTTTGTTTGTTTAATTAATTGTTTAAATGCAATTATTCACAATTGTTGAGTCAAATGTATAAAAAAGCACCTTTATACTTTCTTTTTATTACGACAAACTCTTATTAAGTGTAGCAGCAGCAGAAATTTCTGTATTCTATGGCCGTTATAGTTGCAATAAGTAATTATAGGAGTATTTTAGAGATCTATTTTGTAATTATCTGTAATGACAAAGAAAAAAATAATATAATATAAATATTTAAACAAAAGAATGTATTAGTTTATATGACGTAATAAAGCAATTAAATACAACAATGTCTGATGAACACTTGCTCTTTTTTTTATTATAATTATTCAACTACATTTGAACTCAACAAAAAAATGTAAGTAAATTAAACAATATAGTATTAGCAGTAGAGGGACGAAACGATTTCTTGGTATGCACTAAGTTCTTTTCTCCATGGGACAATTAGATTTGATAACAAATCTGTTTTAATTGAAACAAAAAAATCTACGATAAGATAATTTAAAAATCGTATTGTGCTATTTTTAAATGACACATACTATGTACGTACATATGTATGTTTGGTGATTTTTTTGTTTATTTTAATAATTGCACTAAAATATTATCTTTTCACATTTATGTCAAAGATTTTGTTCTCGTGATTTATAGTGATATAAACTAAACTTAATATTGTTTTACATTTGTTAACAGTGAAATTTTTAATTAATTTTTAGGGTGTTATTTACAATAATTGAACTGTAAATTGTATAAAATACGTTTAAAGATAAGATTTTAAAAGAAAGAAAAATGTACAAAAATTACGCAACCTTTAGGTATTGTCTATAAGGAAATGATTCACAATTTTTAATAGAATTGTGAATATTGGAAAGATATTATTTACAACAAGATGTTAGCAGAACAAATTACTAAAGTAATTACAAATTATTTCTAAATATCATAAAATTTTCCAGTAAATTAAGCAAATTCTAAAAATTTTCTCATAAAAAAGTTAAGTTATTGCTTATTACATTTTTCTAATGTAATAAATAAAAAATGGGATATAATTTAAATTTTAAAAATTTTTATGATTGAAAATGAAGAAATAGGCCCAAAATATATACATGTTTACAAATCCTCATGAGTTCAAAATTATTTAAAAACTTTATCGAACATAAGCTCGAATTTTTTAAAATTGTTAGTTTCATATTAAAACTAAATTTATATTTTTATGAATTCTCATAATTTAAAGCTTTTAAACTTTATAGAATTTCCTAGAACAAATCAACAGTTTATATTCTGAAACTACATTAGAAAATTTAAATGTAAGAACTTGCACTTAAATTAAGATAAAATTATATTTCATGAATCCTCCTGATTTAGTAATTGTTTTATTTTTCGAACATAAGTTCGAATTTTAGAAATTATTGAAAAACATTTCAAGAACAAAAAAATATTTAAAAATTTGCTATTACTTTAAAAATATTTTAAAATCTGGGAATATTTTAAAATCATTTTCAAAATTTGTAAAGTCGAAATTGAAAATTTATAAATTGTTACTCAAATTATTTTTTATTTATAAAATCTTTCTCATTTAGAAATTATTTTAACAACATCAAAACTTTTTCAAAAATAAGTACGAATTTGTGAAGATTCTATATTGAAACTGGAGAATATTTTCAAAATCCATGACAAAATTAAAATAGTTTTGAAAATTTTGAAGTTCGAAATTGAGAAATTTATAAAATTATCCTTTAATTAAACTAAAATTATATTTTTATGAATCCTCATGCTTCAGAGATCATTTTTAATAGTTTTAAAACTTTTTCCAACTTAAGTTCGAAATTTCAAAATTATTGAAATTTTTTTTTTTTAAATCTTACTCTTTGAAATTGATAATAGTTTGAGATTATTGATTATTTTTAAATAATTATAAAACTTTTTCAAACTTAAGTACAAAATTTTAAAATTATTGAAAATTTTTGGAAAAATCTTATACTTTGATAATACATTAAAAATATTATTATTGAATATTTGAAAATATTTGTAAGTTCGAAATTGGAGAGTTTATGTAATAATTTCAACTGAACTAAAATTATATTTTTATAAATCCTCATGCTTAAAAAGATAATTTTATTAAAAAATATTTAAAAAATCTTACACTTACATACTTTGATAATACATTAAAAATACTTTAAAATTATTGAATATTTTAAAATAATTTATAAAATTTTAAATATTTTAAAATCTTTTCAAACCTAAGTTCGAAATTATTGAAAAATATTTCAAAAAAAAATCTTACACTTTGATAATACTTTAAAATTATTGAATATTTAAAAAAAAATGTTGAATTTATAAGTTCGAAATTGGAAAGTAATTATCCAATTGAACTAAAACTATGTTTTTATGAATCCTCGTAATTTAAATAATGTTTTAATATTTTTAAAACTTTTTCGAATACAATTTCGAACATAAATATTAAAAAAATATATATAAATATATTAAAAGTTTTTAAGTTCAAAAATGGAAAATGTAGTGAGTTTATTTCGAACATAAATTTGAATTTTCGAAAAAAATTGAATAACCTTGTGATTTAGACAATTTTTTTTAAAACAATTTTAACATTTTTCAGATTTAACTTCGAATTTTAAATTGTATTGTAGGTCTATATCCATTAATTTAAAACTTAGACCTGTTCAAAATTCAGAATATTATAAAAATCTAATAAATTAAATATTTTATCTCTTTTAAAACATCAGCCAGATCACACGCCTTAATCAATTGAGGTGTTTTACATAAATATTGAAATATTCTCATAAACAATCTATAAAAATAAACTGCTGGTATGAGAAAACACTTTGCTTATAAGTAAGGGTGCAGTATTTACTTTATAATTATCAAACGAATATTAGTATGTACTTATATTATTAATAAATGTAAAAATTAAATTTTGAGAAATATTATTATTTAAACCAGTTTAAATCAATGTTCTTTAAATTTAAAACACGCTTTAAGTATAATGAACTCTAAACAAGGAATTTTTTTGGCATTTGCCAAATGCGTTTTACTTAAATGACAATATGCGTTGTAGTTATTAGATTACACATTGGCCCCAAAAAGATACACAGCACACAACATGATGCAATTATTTATTATTACTTAGTTGGTCTTACTATTATGTATTATATTTTGTTCTTAGTAGATTATTCCGAATTCATGTTATATTTTTAATATAAAATATTTATGATATGTACTTTGTTTAATATATATGTATGCATATGCATGTCTGTGCCATTTTATTGTTTAATTGTTGAATGAAAATACAATTCATTACCAGTACTATATCAAGCGTAAATAATAAATAAAAAATATGAAATATGTACCAACTTTATAAATACTGACGTTTAACAACGCCCCAAAAATAATACTACATAATAATTAATTGTTTACATACATGATACATTATAGATTATATTTTCAAAATTTTGTATTAATTTTCGGAGAAAGTGACAATTAACAAGATAAAAATATGAAACTTTCAAAGAAGTGTTAAAAAAATAAGAAGAATTATTCGAGATTTTAAAGTTTTTAAACTTTTTCGAACAAAATTCATCGAAATTTAAACATTTAAAAAATCTTCAAAAACATTATACGTTAATAATCTTTTAATTCATAAATAAGTAAAATATAAAAAACAAATAATATGTACATATTTTTTTTATAAAAATATGTATGTATGCAGTATTTAAAACAACAAGTACTTAAACAAACACATTTTTATCATTATTATTATTAAAGTTTATTTTTTTACTACACTTATTAGGGATTATATTAATTAAATATTTTATTAAATTATTAAAAAAGAAAAAAGAACATTATCCATAAACATTGTGCATATGTTTTCATTTGCAACAGTTATACATATATTTATTATCTTATTTGTTTTACCGAAAGAAAAAAAGAAAATAAAGTAAACAAAATTAATAATTAACCACAAAAAACTTAAATACATATTAATATCAGTACCAGCAACAAAATAACAATAAAAAAAATGTATATTTAAGATAACAAATCACCATCATCATGCCCATTCATACACGGAGCCGCACCACTACGTCACAACAATGTACCGGCATATTTGTGTGTATTTCAAATATTCCTCACGCCGCCTTCATTTATTATTATGATTATTTGTATGTATATACAAGTTCTATTGTATGACCACGACTAGAATGTCTACAAGTATGTAGCTAACCAAATCAGAGAACAGCAACAAAAAATATTCCATTTCTTGAGCAAGAAATTAATGATGATAATGACACTGACGATAAATACAAATGTATGGGACAATGGTATACAATTATAATTTGCTTGTACTTTAAATGTATTTAGCAAGATCGTTTAAAAATAGAATTATGTATATGTATTTATTTGTTGCAATTTGTAATAAATTTTAGTTGATCATCGTCATATGGTTTTTGTTTACATTTTTTTTTTTTTAATTTTTAAATAAGGCTTATAAATTATAAACATTTTTAAAAACAAAATTATTCATTTTTTAATTGTGTATTAAATTAATTTGTTATGTAGGTTTGAAATTTACATTTTAATTATTTTAATTATTCCACGCCCACCTAATCTATACTAATTGAATGAAAATGTATCTTAAAAAATTGTATAAAATTTTTAAAACTTTTGAATTTTCCACATTAATAAATTCCACATTAAAACATTAATCGTTATCTCTTAAATAACAGTGAAATTGTACTTGATTAAGAGATAGTTCGATTGCTTCAAAAAGTCTTCAAACTTAAGAATTTGCGAAACTGAACTAAAACTAAACTGAACTAGAACTGAACCACAACTGAACTTGAACTGAACTAGAACTGAACTGGAACTGAACTAGAACTGAACTAGAACTGAACTAGAACTGAACTAGAACTGAACTAGAACTGGACTAGAACTGAACTAGAACTGAACTAGAACTGAACTAGAACTGAACTAGAACTGAACTAGAACTGAACTAGAACTGAACTAGAACTGAACTAGAACTGAACTAGAACTGAACTAGAACTGAACTAGAACTGAACTAGAACTGAACTAGAACTGAACTAGAACTGAACTAGAACTGAACTAGAACTGAACTAGAACTGAACTAGAACTGAACTAGAACTGAACTAGAACTGAACTAGAACTGAACTAGAACTGAACTAGAACTGA